ATCATACTGAACACCCACACACATCTACCATCCATACATGCATGCAGTCTTGTGCATATCTTAATGTATACCGGTTTACATCCTCACTGATCCCAGGACGAGAATGGCAGTACGCCGCTGAGTGCTTGGCAGAGGCTCTGACTATACTCAAGGTATTTCGGAAACAGGGTACGCGTATTCCAATCAAGTCTCAAATGATCACTACCTAGGGTTCAAGTCTCTGATGCGGTAGAATAGAAAGATCTGGTTTTCCAGGCTGGATCAGTCCGAGGGTGGTGGAGGTGTATTCATGGGACCCTGATCCCAACAACAGTCAAGGAATAATTTGTACTTGATCATCATTCGTCATACAGTGCAAGAAGAGATGCAGGGACAAGAGTCAGCCTGGGAAACCGGGCACCCCTCGGTCGAGAGAGATTTGGCCAACTCGGCAGACTCTTCAGCTAGTGGGAGGGGGCATTGCGCTCAGGCTTGATATGGTGTTTTAACCATCAGGATGAGTGTAAAGACATATCCGGTTTATTTGGGCAGCACAGCAAATGCTATTGCCTTTCTCCTAAATGACTTTCCCTGTTTGGAGGGCGGGTTTGCAACTGAGCACCACCATTTACTCCTGAGACCCGTATGATTTAGGATGCGTCTTACTGCACCTAATCTAGGAGTCGTTGCCGCCTATCCCTCTCAGTTGGGGGTGTGATGGATTCATTTGGATTGTCCAGTATAAATTGTTTGGCAAGGATTTAGGGTTTCTTGATGAAAACTGAGAAGGAAGATGGGAGAAGAAAAAGTCGCTAGTGTAGAGAAACAAGTGAGAATGTTGAGAGCGTGTAAACGTTTATAGAGACTCTTTCATCCTCCCTGCAGCCATACTTCCAGTTGTCTAGTCCACCGGCACTCAAGTATTAACCATGTGCATGTGTCCACCTGAACCCGTTGCCTGCCTACCCTGTATAATAGTGACGTTGTGCTTGCCGCACAGCTGAGCAGTCTACTGTCTATCCACCAGGGACTTTCAGGCCTTTTCAAATACATACAACTGAATACACACGAACATGCACTTATGCCAACAACACTACAACGTGGTATACTGGTCGCCTAGTTGACCTTTGTGCATTATCGTCTTCCATACATACATTCATCCAACAGCACAGCCGCACAACAGTCTGCATCCATGCTGTTGACGCCGAGATTTATAGCGGCAAAATGGGTAATCGAGCGCGAAATGAGCGGGAGGAGGACAGAATCTTTGATAGTCCTCGTAGTTGATGACTACCTTCGGAAGCTTTATGAATACAAATTTTAATCCTGCAAGGTAAAAAATGGTTTGTTTAACATTCATGTCTTAATGCTAGGGCAGAAGTAGTTTTATAGGGGGATAAGACGGTAGACGTGGGAGTGTGGAAGAGTTACAAGATAAGACAATAAGAGTAAGGTGGTCCTAGATACAGTTAGTGATAGCCACACCTTATCTAAACAGCCCTTGAATTGGGCTACTGTTGGGGATGAAACAACATGCTCTGGCAGCTTGTTCCATCAGTTAATGATTCTATAGGAGAAAGAAATTTGCCCTGACGCTTTTAAGTGCCCTGGGCTTCTTCAGTTTGATGCTATGCCCTCTCGTTGTAGAGCTCTCCTCCAGCGTGAAGAGGGGCGAAGAAGTATTGGAAAGTCTTTTCTTCTATTTGAATACTTTGATGAGAACGCCCCTGAGGCGCCTTCGATGGAGGGATAAAACTCCCAAGGTTCTTAGTTCCTCTTCGTATGGAATGTCCCTCAAGCCCGCAATGGTCTTTGTGAACCTTCGCTGGACATTCTCCAAAAGTTTCTGATCTCTTTTTTTGGGCTGGAGCCCAGGCTTGCACGGCATACTCAAGATGAAGCCTGAATATTGCCTTGTATAGGGTAATGAGAACTTGGGGAGCTCTGGAATCTATCGTCCTGCTTAACTGATTGATAGCCCTCTGTGCTTTGCTTGCTGCAAGAACACATTGGGCAGATGACNTCGTGAATGTTCACACCTAAGTCCCTTATTTTCGTAACCCTTTCTATGATCTGGGGATTGTTCTGGTTGATGGTTCTGGGTGCAGGTAGTTCCCCAGTCTGTATTTGTAGGTCAGTTCAGGTCAGTTCAGTTCTCACAGGACGAATTGTAGCTCTTGCCAATCGCACGTCTAGTTCCTTGTGTTCTCGGCGATTTCGTTGGCTTCCAACACCTCGAGTCAATAGTAGTTTCTGAAAGGAAGAATGTTGGTGTGCAATATCAGATCCCTTACAGTGTTTCGGAAAGTAAAGCCTAACGATTAACTTTCAACAATCAACTTCGGGAAATACCACTGCCCAGCATTCATCTAGCCTTCTCTTGAAAGATTCGACATTAGTACAGTTAACCACTACTTCAGGTAATTTGTTCCATAGTGGTATAACTGTTTGTGAAGAACCTAGCTCTCAACTTTAGTCTACAATGACTTCTTTCCAATCTCAATTGATGCCCCTTCGTGCCCCTGGCAGGAACAATCGAGAATACGTTTTGGAACTTTAGACCCGAAAGCCCTTTGACAATCCTAAATATATCTATAAGGTCACCCCGCATGCGTCTGCTGGCCAGGGAGAACAGGCCCAGGTCCCTCAGTCGCTGGAAGTATCCCTTATCTTTATGGCATGCTACCATTCTAGTTGCTAAGAGCTGTACTTTCTGAAGAAACCGTTTGTCCTGTTTAACTAAGGCGCCCATGCCTGTACGCAATATTCTAAATGAGCACTCACTATAGTTTTGTACGACCGTACAAAACCCTCGGGTCTTCTGCAACTTACAACGGCACATAACCTGAAGAGTTCGTGTCAAGCGTTACTAGCCGCACGCCTGCACCGCAGGAATGCCCAGAAGTCATTCGTGATCATTACCCCTAGATCCTTTACCTCAGAGACATGCTGCACATGCATCACACCTCTCGTGTCATCATTGGCTTTTGTGGTCAAGAGCTGACACTTACCTAGATTCAGTGGCAGATCCCACTTATCCGACCACCTTCGAACTGTATCTAGATCCTGTCCCAGTTCTTCCCCAGCTAACTTTACATCATCGGTGAACATGAAGCAAGGATTTTGGAGATCTTTCGCAAGGTCGTTAATGAAGATCAAGAATAATAACGGACCCAACACCGATCCCTGTGAGATACCACTTAATATTCCCTTAGGTTCAGTTGTATAATTTCAAACTCTCACACTGAATGTGCGACAGCTGAGAAATTGTCTAATCCATCCTCTTCCTTTATCTAGAATACCCACTGTCTGCATTTTTAGATCCAGAAGCTGATGACTGACAGAGTCGAAAGGTTTGCTGAAATCTAGGTAGCAAACCTTTACTTGGCGACCTGTGTCAATTCTTTTTATATCTTCGTCTAGAAACGCCAGCAGGTTGGTTAGGCACGATCTTTTCTCGACGAATCTATGCTGGGCTTGAATCAGAAGCCCATAAGCCATCAGATAAGAACATATATGTTTCCTAACTATCCTCTCGAGACACTTGAAGAAGACTGAGATCAAACTTACCTGCCTATAGTTACAAACATGGTGTCTGGGGGCTGAATTGTAGATGACCAATACGGTTGCAGTTTTCCAGTCCTCTGGAAGCCTGCAAGTACTGATGGACTCCTTAAATAACTCAGTGACCGGTCCCGCTAATGCATTTGCTAGAGGCTGAATCACAGCGGGATGCAATCCATCCGGTCTTGCTGTTTTATGCCTATTTAAGGCTTTGAGCTCTCGGACCACGTCGATTTCACAGAGGTTGAACTCCGTGAAATGCTCCTTTGTTCTAACCAAGCTGCAGTCTACATTCTGTCCTGATGTAGGTGGCCGATAAATTCCCTTGAAAAACGTAAGGAGTACACTTGCTTTTTACTGGTCGGTGGTGACCCTTACGCCTTCCGTTACCTCCAGCGTACCTACTCCCTCCTTAGTGTTTTTGTTTGCCTGCTCATATGCACAAGACCTTTCCGGGTTATGCCTTACGTTTTGCGCTAACGTTTTCTCATGTGCATACTTTGCCTCTCTTTGAAGGCATTGTGCTCTGTTGCGTGCCCTCTTGTAGATCGACCACGCATCGGTAGTCAGGTATGCCCTAAAACGGGCCCAGCATCTCCTCCAAACTACTAGTGCCCGATCTAGATGTGGCTTCCACAAAGCTGGTCGTTGCCTATTGCTCCTAGGTTTGAATGGTGCAAACCTATCCGTCAGTCTAAGCAGCCCTACCTTTATGACAGACCATCGCTCTTCCAACGTTGGCTCGGGAGCTAGTGGCACCCAAGCTACGAGTTCTGCGGCCTCGTGTAGGGCAGCATCGTTTATACGGCTATAGCACCGTTTAAGTGGGGCAGCCGGTTTGCTGTGTTTCATGGGTAATACTAACCTAAATACCCCATGGTCACACTTACCCAGTGGATTCTCCACTGCTACCTCACTTGTGTCCGATAAATACCGCGTTTTAACTAAGTCCAGGGCGGAGGCCCTCTGTTGGTTACGAAACCTCGTGGCCCGCATGATATGCTGAATGAGCGCATGCTCATATAGCCATGTTAGAAAGCTTTCTCCCTTTGTCCCGACGGGAGCCTCTCCATCTACCCAACAGATCTCCGGAAGATTGAAATCACCCAGAATTAAGATCCTTTGGGTCTTCGATATAAATTCCTGCAATGTAGCAAGTAGTTCCATAACTTCTGTGGGTTCCGCCTGGGGTGCGCGATAGACTATTAGCACTCCTAACGGTCGTCTTCCCAAGAGGATACTACACACCCTGGCTTGAATATTAGGTGTTGCCAGTTTTACTGGTGAGTCCCATTGAGTGTAAGCGGCTTTGACCAGCAGGAATACTCCTCCGCCTTGTCTGCCGTTCACTCTATCTTGCCTATAAGCCGAGTAGTCTCTGGGCTTCTCTACGTCTTGCTCATGTCGCATCCAAGTTTCAGTGATGGCTATTATCACCGAGTTTTGGGTGCGCGTTGCCAACTCTCCCCATTTTCCCCTAACACTGCAGGCGTTAGTGTACCACACTGTGACATTGTCCACCTCCGCCTTCATACAACTCTTCTCTATTGCTTGGGATGGATCCTCGGACGTAAGGCCCGAGATCCGGAAGTCTTGAAGTAGTACTCGGGTTCGAGGCTTGCGCCCGATATTCCCGGTTCCGGATTTGTCTTCTTTTTTGCAGTTCGGTTCACGATCTGAAAGAGATGTTGACGGGAACAGGAGCTGGCTCCAATACGGTGCCGCTGGGTTGAGGGTGCATGCATCGAAAAAAATCTAGAGGAGAGCGAGGATGAGAGAAGCGTAGTAGCAGGGATAAGCGGGATAACGTGGGGGGTTCCTTCAGAAGATGGAGGCCAATTAGATCATGGGATGGTAATCCCTATGTGTGAGCCTAGCTGGATTTTGAAGACCCCTTTGGAGGAGGAGTTCACAATCTCTAGTGGAATTTGGTTCCATTCTGAGATTACCCTGTACGTGAAGAAGTTGGAGCGGATGAAGGTTCTGGGCCTGTGTTTGAAGAGTTTTCTTGGGTGTCCCCTTAAGTGTTCCATAAGTGTTTATGTATGTTCCATAGAGGAAAAGGAAGTCCTCTTTGGTTATACGCGGGAAAGATCATTTGATAAGGTTGAGAATACGGAAGGCGGTTTTACGAGCCTTTTGGTTATGGGAAGAAAAGGAGAGGTTGCTATTCAGCCAGAAACCAAGAATTTTCTGTTGATCTACCAGTTGGATACGGGTTGAACCGTTTACCGAGAAAGGTCGACCAGGAGCGTTACCAAAGGTCATGCTTACACATTTTTCGTTAATGATTGGTAAGCTCCAGTCGACGGATCAATTTTTTCTTTGGTCAATCGCCGACTGCATTTGGGATGCGTCTGTGCTCCAGATGGTGACATCATCCGCGTACATGGCAATCTCTATAGGGAGACGTTTAGGGAGATCATTAATATAGATCAGAAATAGGATGGGACCTAGTACGGAGTCCTGTGGGATTCCCATTGAGACTGTGGAAGGCGAAGAAACGGATGTGCCTATTCGAATCTCGAAGGAGCGATTCAACAGAAAACTAGTAAGCAGGGAAAGCAATCGGCCAGTGATGTCATGACTCTCTAGTTTGTACAGGAGATGGATGTGTGGCACTCTGTCGAAGGCTTTGGCAAAGTCTATGAAAATCGCGTGCAAAATATGACATTCGTCATAGGCACGGGTTAAGCTATCCAATACGGTCAGCATATTGAAGATGCATGACCTGTTTGGGAGGAAGCCG